GACTGCTTCCAGGGACGAGTGGTGGAAATTCAGTCTCCTGCGGGGGTGGGATGGTGGGAAGCTCTGTTAGCCACCGGTGGTAAAATAAAGAACACCGTTATTAGCAACTTGGGTCTGATGGAGTTATGGGCAGTGGGGGTCACCAACCCCATTGCCTCTGCTCACACTTCCATGACGATCTGCCTGAATCATGTATCTGGAACACCATGAATGAGAGGCCACCTGGAATGTCTACTTTGGCCCTCAATCATTCCGCCACAGATGTTGTCCTAGATTGAAAGCATTTTAGACAGAAGAAATGATGACTCTCTTCCCTATAAAGACAGCCTTCAGCAATCTCGTTTTCTCAAAGTAATTTGGGTTGCCATGGTAACTATTGTTCCATAGTAACTGGAGCAGCGAAGAAGACCCTTCAGGACAGCTTCGGGCTGGCATGGGCTCTCTGCATGAGGGGGAGGAAAGCCTTGTCCCACAAACTGAAACCCACTTGTTCAAGGTTGGATTTCACCCAGAATTTTTCAAACCACACCTCAAGGAGCCAGCCATTTATCAAGGAACAGCCTCAGTCTTTGCCTACAAGGCACCGACATGATCTGATGGCTTCCCCAGAATCCCGTCGCTGTCTCTTGTTGCTAACAGAACACTCGTCTGGATGGACCAAGGTGGACCTATTACGCTACCTGGGAATAGAGGCAGAGCTAACTAGCTTCCAGGCGGCCTTGAGTGCTGGTCCTTCTCATTTTAGAAATTAAACGGGTCACAGTAGAGTCCTGGGTCATCCAGAAGGTTGATTCTAGGAACCGCTGGAATAAATGAGAATTATAGAAGAGAATCGTAGAACCATGAAGTTGAAAGGGGCCTATGAGGCCAACCCCCCCTGCTCGAGGCAGGAATACAAATCAAAGTGTACCTGCCAGGGGGTTGCCTAAATTTCTCTTGAAAGCTTCCAGGGTTGGAGAGTTCACTACCTCTCAAGGTTATGGGTTCCCTTGTCGTACTGTTCTAACCATCAGGAAGTTTTTTTTCCTTCCTGATTTTCAACCCAAATCTGGCCTCCTGTAACTTGAGAAGCAACATCCCAGACTGAAAATGGTTTGTTTCATTCTGAACAATCAGTATGGCGTGTGCATCTAGAGGATCTTTACAACTCATACAATTTGTGTGAATAAACTTGATAAGAAATGGTGTGTGTGTGAATCTTTTCTTCTTCTTCTTCTTCTTCTTCTTCTTCTTCTTCTTCTTCTTCTTCTTCTTCTTCCTCTTCCTCCCAGGATATAAATCAAATAAATAAATAAATAAATAAAATAGATAAAGACAGATGGCTTCCTGTCTGATCTAGAGGAAGAACATTTACTGAAGGGAGCACATCTCTGTGTATCTCGCTCTGTGCCCCATCGTTTGGCTCAGGCGGGTGAGAAAACTACCCTCCCCAGAATCATGACAGGAAATGATGCAGTATGCTTGATCAAGAAGGCTGTCGTTCCCGGCTCAGAGGCAGACGTCCAGCGCATTTTGCCTGTGAAGTCTCTTGGCAGGCAGCTGCCTCTCCTGAGCCGTAAAGGTAAGACGTTTTTAATTCATGTTTTTGCTTTCGCCAGATTTGCATCTGTGGAGGACTATGCAGCGAGGAACTATGCATCAAATGGTTCAGATCTTCCAACCTTTCCAGTAATTAGCTAATTTTATTTATATTGCAAATGTGAAATACAGCTGCGTCCTTGCACAGACCAGAGTGGTGTATGAATAACCATCAAAATTACATCCAGTGCATTAAAATAACGAAACCACCACCATGTGGTAACTTCGAAAGCAATATTCAAAGAGCTCAAATATTTTTTCCAGGGGAGAGAGGAAAGTTCGCAGACCAGTTATTCGGATTATGATGTCTGTGGCAACAGAAAGCGATAGAAAAGATCCTTTTGCATTGCTAGTTGAGGGGCCATGGGCACCTGCCATTCTGCCAGTTGGTGTCATGATGCAGTGAGGATGCAGATCAAAACCACATCACACTGCTGCTGGGGTGATCTTATCTTTTCAAATACTTGAAAGGCTGTCATACAGAGGAGGTGCAGGATCTGCTCTCAATCATCCCTGAGCTCTTGATTAGGCATCCTTCAGTCTCGAGAGATGATGCTAATGTGCTCTGTATGGAGGACTTGGAACAGCGTCTAGTGTGGCTGAGAAGGCCAATTTGAGAGTGACCATCCCTTCCACACTGAAGACAAACACAAACTGTCCCCTGTCCAGCTCCCTGATTTGGCTGCTTCCGGGACGGCCTCTTTGCCTCGGCCTGCTGGACAAGGGTCTCTTCAAATTGGGAGAGCCCGTGATGCACCGCCTGCCTCCAGGCTGAATGCTCCGATGCCACTGTTTCCCATCTGTTGAGGTCCATTCCTAAGGCCTTCAGATCCCGCTTACAGATATCTTTGTATCGCAGCTGTGGTCTCCCTCTGGGGCAATTTCCCTGCACTAATTCTCCATACAGGAGATCTTTTGGAATCCAGCCATCAGCCATTCTCATGACATGCCCAAGCCAATGCAGACGTTGCTGTTTGAGTAACGTATACATGCTAAAAATTCCAGGACTACTCTATTTGGAACTTTGTCCTGCCAGGTGATACCAAAAACGCGTCGGAGACAATGCATATAGAACATGTTCAGCTTCCTCTCCTGCCGTGCACAAAGGGACCAGGACTCACTGCAGGACAGGAGGGTGCTCAGGACACAGGCTCTTGGTCTATGCTGTCAACTTCTTATTAAGCCATACTCTGTTCCCTGGGCTAAGGACACATAATAATGGGCTCAAGCTACAGGAAGTCAGATCTCCATTGAATATCAGGAAAAACTTCTTCACTGTTAGAGCAGTACGACAATGGAATCAATTACCTCCAATGTTCCAACACTGGAAGCATTCAAGAGAAACTTAGACAACCACCTGGCAGATATCCTTTGATTTCTATTCCTGCATTGATCAGGGGGGTTGTACTTGAAAGTCTTGTAGACCCCTTCCAATTTCATGATTCTATGATTCTATGATATGTATTACTTATGTAAAGTACAGGCATTGCATACAGTTGAAAAGAAATCAGGACGGGTGCTAAGCGCATGGTTTAGTTTGCCCTCCTCCCCCATTGCAAAAAAATAGCCCGATCCAACTTGGCCATAGGTTCAGGATCCTTGCCTTCAACCTGACTCATTTGTGAACCTCGGCATCAATTCAGAACCAGCCTCAGTCTCATTGAAGTGGTTGTCGCAAGCGATGAGGCTCTGAAAATGATAGACGCTCCTTTCTGTCTCTCCCACAGTGCAACCATCTCAGAAAACAGCCCAATCCATTCTGCAGAGCTACTGCTACGGCCAGCCATGCAGAGAATTATTGTTGTTTTGACTTATAGGTACTGATCCCTAATGCTTAAAGCTCTCTCTGGGCAGTTTACAATTTAATGATGCAAGGCTGCACATTGCTTGTGGGTAACTCGTTTTACCGACCTCGGAAGGATGGACGGCTGAGTCCATCTCAAGTTGGCTACCTGAGCCCCATTGGGATCGAATTCAGGTCCTGAGCACAGGCTGGACTGCAGTCTTGCAGTTTAACCACCGCACCACTGGGACTTAAAGCTCTCTCTGGGCAGTTTACAATTTAATGATGCAAGGCTGCACATTGCTTGTGGGTAACTCGTTTTACCGACCTCGGAAGGATGGACGGCTGAGTCCATCTCAAGTTGGCTACCTGAGCCCCATTGGGATCGAATTCAGGTCCTGAGCACAGGCTGGACTGCAGTCTTGCAGTTTAACCACCGCACCACTGGGACCTTAATACAGTGGGGTCTTGACTTAAGAACGGCTTGAGTTAAGAACATTTTGACTTAAGAACCACTCTTATAGGAAAATATTGACTTGACTTACATACTTAGTTTTGAGTTAAGAACTGAAAAAAACACGTGGGAGGCAGGGAAAGTGCAAAATGTGAACTTTCAGTTAACTGTTGGCCAGTGAAAAGGGTGCCTGTCTGCTTCCTCACTCCTCCCAGCGTTTAGAGAGTGGATTGGGAGACAGTCTTCGGACTGCCTCCCTAATGCTTAAAGCTCTCTCTGGGCAGGTTACAATTTGATGATACAAGTTACACATTGCTTGCGGGTAACTCGTTTTACTGACCTCAGAAGGATGGAAGGCTGAATCCATCTCAAGCTGGCTACCTGAGCCTGCTGAGATCGAACTCAGGTCCTGAGCAGAGGCGGGACTGCAGTCTTGCAGTTTAACCACCACACCACTGGGACCTTAATACCTTACTTATGTAAAATACTGTTGACTGGTTTTCCTGAGTGCTTTCCTCTGAGAGATCCTTGGATCTGTGGGATGACGGGAGGGGGGTCATCTGGGGATTGCTTTGATTCCTAGATACCTGTGCTTCTTCTCAGATCATGCATTCAGAAGAGCTAGCCCGCTGTCTAGAGCCACATTCAACACAATTAGCCAGCTTTTAGGATGTGTGGCAGTGCCAGCTTCTGCTTCCTTCTTTGGTGGTGTGAGCTGGCTGGTCTTTTTAGTGCAGCATCCTCTATTACAGTCCCTCTTGCATTTTCCTCCTCATTTGGAGATGATGTGAAGTGGGCCTCCTCCTTCCTGTTTCCCTTCTCCTCCTGCTTTCCCTCTCTCCTTTCTCTGCATGAGATAACTCTTCTTTTCCTTGGATAGGAAGTTGAGAGTGATTGTGGTCTTGGCTGTATGTATACAGTGGTGCCTCGCTTAACGATGATAATCCGTCCCAGGAAAATCGCTGTTAAGCAAAAACATCGTAAAGCAAAATTAAAAACCGAATTGAAACGCATTGAAAACCGTTCAATGCGTTCCAATGGGGTAAAAACTCACAGTCCAGCGAAGATCCTCCATACGGCGGCCATTTTCGGTGCCTGTATAGTGAGGAATCCGTCCCTAAGCACAGCGGGGAGCCATTTTAAACACCTGGCAGCCATTTTGAAAACCTGACAATCAGCTGTTTTTGATCGCCGTAAAGTGAAAATCGGTTCCCGAAGCAGGGAACCGATCATCGCTAAGTGAAATTCCCCCATTTAGACCATTGTTTTGCGATCACAATTGCGATCGCAAAAAATCATCGTAAAGCAGAACCATCGTAATGCGGGGCAATTGTTAAGCGGGGCATGACTGTAGTTCCACATGGCAGTGATTTATGGGTATTGTTGTTGGCTCCCATGGCAGAACCATAGAATCATAGAATAATGAGGTCAGAAGGGGCCTACGAGGCCCTTCCTTGCTCAAGGCAGGAATCCAGATCAAAGCAGATCTGCCAGATATTGGTCCAGTTTTCTCTTGAATGCTTCCAGCACTGGAGCTCTCACCACCTCTCAAGGTGATGGATTCCACTGTCGTACTGCTCTAACAGTTAGGATGTTTTTCCTGATATTCAACCAAAATCTGGCTTCCTGTCACTTGAGCCCATGGTTGCATGTCCTGCACTCTGGGAGTATCGAGATCAGATCCTGCCCCTCCTTTGCAGGAGAGCCTTCCAAGAATTTGAAACGTGCTATCAGATCTCCTCTCAGCCTTCTTTTCTCAAGACTGAACATGTCCAGTTCTTGCACTCAGTCTTCTTTTCTCAAGACTGAACATGTCTAGTTCTTGCAGTCTTTCCTCCTAGGGCTTGGTTTCTAGTCCCCTAATCATTCTTCTTGCTCTCCTCTGAACTTGTTCCAACTTGGTGGCGGTGGGGGGGGCGCCAGCCCCCTGATCATCCTTGTTGCTCTCCTCTGAACATGTTCCATCTTTGTGGTGGTGGGGGGCACCACATTGCTTTCTACCTCAGAGGAACAGTCTTCATGCCTCCCCTGAACCTCCACTAGATGCCTTTTTCTCTGTTTGTCCGAACAGGATAAAAGTTGCATGGGCCTTGATTTCATGGAGATTCTGCAATTCATGCCACTGACCAGATCATCCTTGTTGCTCTCCTCTGAACATGTTCCATCTTTGTGGTGGTGGGGGGCACCACATTGCTTTCTACCTCAGAGGAACAGTCTTCATGCCTCCCCTGAACCTCCACTAGATGCCTTTTTCTCTGTTTGTCCGAACAGGATAAAAGTTGCATGGGCCTTGATTTCATGGAGATTCTGCAATTCATGCCACTGACCAGCCAGGGGTTTCTACCCCTTTGTAAGCCCATTCAGTGGAACACGCTTTGTAGATGTGTGGAGAGGAATGGCTAAAGACACCAAATGCAGCCAGAGTCTATGGGCTGGGGAACAGAGCTCACAAGCATTCCCTCCTTCCCCAAATCTTTACTCACACATTTCTACTTGTGTACAAGAGAATTTTTGCAACAGAGTTACAATTTTTTTTGATTGTTTTTTGCATTTTGGTTAAATTCCTCTGGCTGCACAATAGAAGTGCATGGATTCACAGAGCAGGGTTCGCTTCAGGTTTCCCAGAGTCATCTACCCTTTTTCTTTTCATCAACTGGCACTTACAGTCTCAATAACTGTTTTAGCTCACAATGTTTAATGGAAGCCACGCAGAGTAGACTTTGTCTAAAAGGAGAGGATAGAAATCAAATGAATGAATGAATGAATGAATGAACGAACGAACGAACGAACGAACGAAAGAACGAACGAACGAACGAACGAACGAAATAAATAAATAAATAAATAAATAAATAAATAACCCACTCGGAGATGTTGTGATGGGAAGAATAAAAAGGTCTCATTTACTCACAGTTCTGAACAGATAAAACAGTATATGCAACACAACTAACTGCTTACAGCAACAAGCCTCAACAGACTCTCAACTGGCAAACTATATTCTCTAACTGCTAACTAACTGCCGGCCGCATTGCTGCCATACTGCTGGATTGATTGACAGTTATCCCAACCCAGAAAGATCCCTCCCAGCCAAGCCTACTAAAGGCAGCATGCGAGGCAATTGTAATTTCTGCAATGCAGAAAATATAACTTCGGACTCCAAATGGGAACTATGCTTTACCGTCATGCCTCACCTGGCTGAATCAGCTTCAGAAGTGGGGGAAGAGCTTTGATAGCTGGCTGTAGGTGTGAAAGGGGATTTCAGTGCTCCCAATGTCAGAGTTGTTCTAGAACCTTCTAGAAGGACCACAGTCAAACGTATCAGAAGAGGAAGAGAAGTGCAGTAGCGCGAGGCTCATGTGTCTGAGGGAAAGGCAGAGGTTGAAAGGATCAGAACCAAAGCACAACTAGTATTTCAGCGCTCTTTGAGTGCCAACTGGAAGCCGTTGGACACCCAGGGAGAAGCTTGTTGGGGGCTCTAAATGCGGTGAGTGCTTCCAGTAGAGCCTTGTGGGTAACAACATGGATGTTCTTTGTCTCCTGCTCTTCCATCCTGCCTGTCCAGATTCTGAGAACCTCTGAGGGGCCAAAAACAACCTCACCTCTTCCTGCTCCCTTTCATGAAGGTGAGTGGTCTACTGGGAGTGAACCAATGTTTTGACCCATGGATAATACTGACCTCCTGCTTTGTGAATAAGGATTGGCTTACAATGACACAACCCTATGCCCGACACATAGCATTGATGAGATTATATCTAGGGGAGGATATCATGGCCAATGGTTGGGAGGGTGGGTATGTTGTACATTTGCAGTGGGTCTCAAATATGGTGCCTGGGTGTTGCTTGTTCACCTTTTCCCTACCCCGTTCTGAAATCATCCTGTCCCACCACCAGCTGGTCCTTGGCTTCTGCTGTTAGGAATTCCCAGTGAATTCCAGTGTTTAAAAATACAGTGTCATAACGGAAGGATTTTAGTGATCTGGTAAAGAGAAAAAACACTGTTACAAGATTCTATAGATCTTGTCTCTTTACCGGGTCACTTTCTGTTGCCCTGTGTTGCAGCAAGATTATGTCCTTCACCTTTCTGAAGTCTGCGTCCACCTACCCTGAGGGTGTCGGCAGTTGGACTTTAGAGACTCACAATGGAAGTCAGTGTCTCGTGCATCACACAGTCGCTTTTGGCCATTCCCCATAGCGATCAGAAAGGTGAAGCCTGTCTCTATGGCAGTGAATAATTAAATGGAATTTCTAATTATATGACTAACATGAGGTGGAGATTTCCTCCTCCTTCAGCTTACTAAATATCTCTTTGGATCTTTTCTTGTGACCCTATCTCCTTCAGAAGGACACTGTGATTCCATCTGAATGTCAGCCATGAAAGTCCTTTACTGCCTTTCTGTTGTGATCTTCTTACTTCAGGCTGTTCAAGGTGAGTGCAGGTCAGATATAAACACATATGCAGAGGACTTCCACTGCTTTTTTTGAGAATGATACTGGATGTTGACTTACTACGAGTCAAAAACCTGTCCCACACATTTGAGAGCTCATGGGATTATAAATCTGGGGCTTGGCATGACATTGATATGAGCAGACACACAACTGAAGGAGTGTGAACTATGTAAACAGAGCCATCAAATGCATGGGGAGGCTGAACCAAGATGCTGTCCTCCACTTTATTCGAACCATTTGTTGGGTGGACTGCTGGGAGGTCAAAGTTAAGGCAGTGCAGGTGGTGAACCGGTCACCACCATAGTGACATTTCCCCAGGCTAGACCACTGCCCTGAAGATTCCTCATAATTATCTGCCCCTATTCATCCCTAGACGTTTGTTCCTCTTCTAACATATGTTTGCAAGGAGAGGATCTCAGGGTTTGGGATGCTCCAGCCGGAAAGGGTGATGGTCAGTATCCCAGCTTTATTCTACTGTCACTGCATAACAACTCCATTCACCAGTTACACCTGAGGAAGGAGGCTTGTGTCATGCAATGTTGTTACGTTGCTGTCAAGACACTTTCAAATTAATGGTGATCCTGGTAGGGTTTTTGAAGTATGAGACTCTCAAGGGTTGGTTTCCTACTGCCACTCACCCAAGAGAGGTTCCGTAACTGGGCAAGGATTTGAAGCTTAGTTTCCTGAGCCTTTTGTCCGACACTCTGCCCACACCGGCAGGATTGCTCTCATTCAAATATTACTCCTTGACTTTGGTTCTCCACTCTAAATGTTCTTCTGCATCAGGGTTGACAACCTCTTGAGATCCAGGGGCAGCACATGGTACCCTGTCTCACAAATGGGTTTTCTTTTTTAAAAAAAACTGTGGGGGCTTTTTAAGCTCTCTAGTGGCCCAACATTTGCTTTTAAATTAATTAAAAATTGGGAGGTGGGAGGCTCCCTAGAGATACAGGGTGCCTCTCAAAACATGCCAGTATCAACCCTACATTCTTTTAAAAAGAAGAAAGAATTAAGTTGTTCAATAACATGCCAGTATCAACCCTACATTCTTTTTAAAAAGAAGAAAGAACTAAGCTGTTCAATGTATTCGCGAAGATGCCGTCCACAGAGTCTGGCGAAACGTTAGGAAGAACAACCTTCAGAACACGGCCAAAGAGCCCGAAAAACCCACAACAAACTGGTTTTGACCTGTTTTTATGAACAAAAATATGGGAGCATTGATGTGGGGGGAGGCATTTGGGTCCCTGGGGAGGCATCTGGCCCACAGTCTGCATCTCGTTTCTCCCTGCTCTGTAGTCTATGCCCTGGCACCTCCCTCCAGTGGCCAGTTCTAGTAAATACATGGTGAAAAATCCATATTTCTAGTTTTTTTTTACTTTTAATATATTTAATATTTGAAGACTACGGATAAGTGAAACCATGGACACTGATTCTACAGATATGGAGGTCTTACTGTATGTAAAACCTGTGTTCCTGTTTAGAACTCCCTGCAGTTGTGGACTGGGTCAACAACCCACCACTGGCATTCAATAAGTCCTAGAAGCAACCCCCCTTTTACTGGAACTACTAGCTAGCTCAGTGGTGTAGGTTTCTGGCTGTGGAGCCAGCGGCTGGGAGTTTGATTCCTTAACAGTGCCTCCTTGACAAAGGCTGGACTTCATGATCCATTGGGTCTCTTCTAGATCTGCGATTCTGATTTGTCTTCTAAAGAGAGAAGCAGGAGAAGGAGGACGAGCAGCTGCGATCAGAAATGCCTGTATGCTTGCAATCACTATTCACGAACCACGAATTTTCACAAACTTTCTGACAAAATGGACTGTATTGAGATTTGTGCAATTTGGACATTTTGGGAGTGGTCGAATGGCCCCCACATGAGTTAGAGATGCCAGACTCCCCAGGAATCTTTAGCTGACTCTCCTCCCCACATCCTGGAGGTTTGATAGAGATTGGATTTTGGATATCTGAGTTATAGCCTCCCACCCATCCCCAAAAAGAAGGTCACCCAAGGAAAGTGCTCTTTAGCAACTGGCTTGGGGGAAACGAGTGATTCATGAGAGGGCACTTGAGACCAGGAGTTCCTTATCATGAGGTGGACTGGAGAGGGAAGAGAAAGGGGGAGGATGAATGGACTTGCTAGCTAAATGACCTTGTCTCGTGCCGGCTGCTGCAAAAGTGAAACCACCATCTGAGCTGCCCAGGGTAGGCCTTCTGCAATCAGCTACTACCTATTAGGGAACAGCCCTGGAGCTCCCTGGATGGCTGCCTGCCCTGACAATCAATCCTACACAATGTTTTCTCTAGGCCCACTGCAGCACTGCCTACGGAATTGAATGAGTGGTGCCAGGCTGTCTAGCCAGGGACGACACACCTGAAAATGAAGTGCATGAATTGCCAGATTAGGCATCCTTCAGTCTCAAGAGACGATGGTCACGTGCTCTGAATAGAGAACTTGGAACAGCATCTAGTGTGGCTGAGGAGGCCAATTTGAGAGTGACCATCCCTTCCACACTGAAGACAAATACAATCTGTCCCCTGTCCAGCTCTCTGGTTTTGCTGCTTTCGGGACTTCCTCTTTGCCTCGGCCTGCTGGACAAGGGTCTCGTCAAATTGGGAGAGGCCATGATGCAACACCTGCCTCCAGGCTGAGCACTCAGAGGTCAGGGTTTCCCATCTGTTGAGGTCTATTCCTAAGGCCTTCAGATCCTGCCTGCAGATCTCCTTGGATCGCAGCTGTGGTCTCCCTCTGGGGCGATTTCCCTGCATTCATTCTCCATACAGGAGATCCTTTAGTGCCTAAGTTCCCAACCTTTGTTACTCGGATGTTTTTGAACTGCAACTCCCAGAAACCCCAGCCAGCACAGCTGGTGGTGAAGGCTTCTGGGAGTTGCAGTACAAAAACACCTGAGTAACCAAGGTTAAGAACCACTGCTTTAGTGCGTTAGAATCTATACTGATGTCTACATTCCCAGATTTCCTTGAAGGGATGCAGTCAAGCTGTCTGTGCCTGTTAATAATCCAAATCAGTCTTACCTACAAACCCAACTGACATTTATTGCAATTTTTAAATATATAAACCATGTTTATCCTACTTCCCTGTCTATTTCGTAAGCCTCCGGCTTCTTTTTCCGGTTTAGTGTTTCATTGTAGGAGCCGCGCATTGGGGATTTCTCAGCCTGGATCCCTTTGTCCATTAACAGTGTCAAAAGACTGCGATAAGAGCAGCAGAATAGGTATAATTAAAATATGTGCACTTAGAAAGGGAGACGTCTCAAGACCTTGCTGTCTTTTCACAGAGGGCAGCCTGGTGGAAGCGATGCTGCTGACGTGTGTCTCCCTGGGTGGCGTCTGCATCCTGCAGCCGAATCAGATGTGTCCTTCGGATCTCATCCTGGATGTGCCTTGCCGTTTTGGCAGAAAATGCTGCTCCAAGGGAGAGATTTAACCTGCACCCTTTTGGATTGTATCTGTTTATGAATGGAGGACTCGGAACATCTCCCTGGGGATGTTTCAAACAGAAATTCATTCAATTCCATCGATTTTTCCGAATCTGGCGCACTGAGATGTTTTTTTGCTGAGAGACACCAAACTGGACTGAGATTTCCTCGGGTTTCCACGAGAGTGAGACGCTGTCCATGTTTGGTACCTCAAATCTACCACTGAAACGGGCCACCCTGCTACATGGTCGGAAACTACTGTTTCCACCCCCTCTTGGCCCCCCCAAAGAAGATGCTGGGATACCAGATGGGGATTCTTGTGGCCAAATCCAGCCCGCGGAATGGAGGTTGTTAACCACTCGTTCAGAAAACACTGAACAGCCCTATTCTCATTTCTTAGCCTGTATAATTCACTCGATTGGATTCCCATCCCATAATGTGAGAAGAAACAGGAGAAGGGCTTTATAATGGAAAGTTGGATGACGTTTAACCTCATAAGAGCTGGGATTCTACCAGGAAAAAGAGCACAGTTATGGCTACGCATACTGAGAAGATTCAAGGACTTGTAATCCAGAAAACCTTTTTTTTTCCTAAGAAGGGAGACCAATATTTTCAGAAACCAGCAAAGTTGGATTGCTGGGGATCAAGAACGCTGAACACCTTTTCTTCCGGGAATAGATATAAATGAAGTCTTAAAAAATGAAACAAAACCCTTGTTTTTCATTGTAAAGTTTTGATAGCCTATTTTATAAAGATTACATTTTCTTCTAAAAGAGAATAGAGGAAGGCAACACCTTTTGTGCTGGAATGAAGAAGGGATTATTAAATTCTGATTACATAGTGTTTGTCCACACCTGTTCCCTTGAGACAGTGCTTCCCAACCTTGGGTCCTCGGATGTTCTTGGACTGCTACTCCCAGAAACCAACTCCCTGGCCAGAAGAGCTAATGGTGAAGGCTTCTGGGAGTTGCAGTACAAGAATATCTGGGGACCCAAGGTTGGGAATCAATGGCCTTTTCTTTTCTAAATCCATTTTGTCATGTGGAGCATTAGGAGGTGCCCACACTATCCAATCTAACCAGTTTCAAACTTCAACTGTCATTGTAAGAGATCCTAAGAATTTCCTTTCATCCTTCATTTGCAGGGATACAGTTCCAGGAAAATCGTGTTAAGTGAAAACATCGTAAAGCGAAAACAAACCCATTGAAACGCATTGAAACCCATTCAATGCATTGCAATGGGGTAAAAACTCACAGTCCAGTGAAGAGCCTCCATACGGCAGCCATTTTCGCTGCCTGTATAGCGAGGAATCTGTCCCTAAACACAGTGGGGAGCCATTTTATTTACCCAGTGGCCATTTTGAAACCGCTGATCAGCTGTTGGAAAATCGTTGTTTTGCGAAGAATCGGTTCCCGAAGCAGGGAACCGATCATCACAAAGCGAAATTCCCCCATTTAGACCATTGTTTTGTGATCGCAAAATGATAGTCGTTAAGCAGATTTGTCATAATGTGGGACAATCGTAAAGCGAAGTGTCACTGTATAAGACTGAAAAAAATGCTTGTCAGGTTAGATATAAAAGTGACGTTGGGTGGATGGAGGGGCGAGTGTCTGATCGCATCAGGAAGGGTCACTTTGGAGGGAACAATCCCCCTTAAAGCAACCCAACCATCTGTTGGGGTATCCCTCTAGCCAATCCCCACAAAGCAGTAAACGTTTTTCATTCAGCTTGGGCACCAATCATGGTCTAGCTGGGGAGCATTTCCCTGTATGTCATCTGATTATCAGTAGAGATAGGCACAAGCCAAGGTTCGGTGGTTCAGGTGCGACATCCACACAGGTGTTCTGTGGGCACCATGCACTTCCATCTTCTGCCTTCTCGGGTGATCACCCGCTCAACGGCAGCAGCAAAGGCTTCCCTGCCCAACTTCTTGGAGGGGGGGAAGCTCATGGTGTCCACAAAACGCCTTTGCGGGCCAAACCGCTGAACTACGGTTCATACCCATCTCTAATAGGACATAGATCGCATCAGATCACTCCACAAGCAGTCCAAACTGTGATCTATTTCCATGTGGACTAGGAAATTTAGAAACACAAACCAGTTTGATGGTTGGAATCCTGTTGGCCATTGACTCACACCATGTAAGACTGATGGTGTCATTGAGAGTGGCATTTTTTTCAGGAATTAAACCTTTCTGACTTCACTTCTGAAGGTCCTGATGTTTATGGGTAATCTCTTTCATGAGTGAGAAGCCATGTGGCCCACAGGACGGTAGGAGGATGTTCTTAATTACCAAAAGTCACTGCCATCATCAAGATGACTTTACCTGTGGAATTTTCTAGTAATTAAAGATTCTTCCCTCCCATCCCAAGAGATGACACAGGACAGGGAAGGTTGACTTTTGAAAAGTTGGAAATGTTTAACTTCTGAAAACCTGCCACTGCTGCTGATGTCATCAGCCATAGGCGGCATAAGGTATGCCAACTGGATTTCAGCTGGTATGTGTATACAGGCTATACAGATAGAAACAGAGCACTGACATTTTGTTCTGCTTTTGGACTACAATTCCCAGAATGCCAAGCCAACCATGTGGGAATTCAGTGAGTTCATGTCTGGGGGAAAAAAAAGTAATCTTTCACAAGCCCTGGACATAATTCCTCTTTATTGGATAGGGAGGTTTGGAAGTGATTTCTTATTGACAAACACATTGTGAGATACATGTAACCCATCTCCTGCTTTGTCAGCCAGTTAGAGCCCAATCAAATGCTGCATAGAGTGGGGTGATTCTTCCTTCCAGCCTTCTAAAAAAGAAAAATTGGGTCTGATGATTGGGTCCGATGATGAGATGGGATAATATTTTATCTGCTTGTTTCCCCACCGGCTCCTTGTTTGTTTGCCCAATCCTACGGAGGCTGTCCTACCTGGGGATAAAAATAGAATAGTTTGCACATTGGTATTTCTCAAGTGGAAACACAGAGCCTGTTCAGACTGGGTGTTTTGGGTGTGGGATGGATCCAGTTACAATGAGTCCATTGAGGTTGAGGGGAGGAGCAATTTGCCACTTGGCATAATCTTCCCATCCAAAGAGCAAACAACCCTTTGTAGGCTGATCAGCTATCACTTAAGCACTTCCCCTGATCCTCTGAGAAGGATCAGGGGAAGTGAGGTTAATTTTAAAAAAACACCCCCCCTCTCCTTCTGTCAGTGCCATTCTATTTTGTCCCTTGTCCCCATCTACTTCTGTTCCCTGATTCTCTGTCCCCCCTTTCTCTCTCAACACTCTTCCTTGGAATCTGCAGCCATTAAGGCAAATTAGAAGCTGACACTTTTTGGAGGCTGTTATCTCTTGATGGATGTTGTTAATGATTTTGTATACCTTGGCTGAACAATCTCTGACACTCTCCCTCTAGATGCTTTGCATTGGCAAGGCAGCTAACATATTCTCTAGACTCACAAAGAGAGTATGGCTTAACAAAAAGCTGATGGCATATACCACGATCTGGGTCTATAGATCCTGTGTCCTGACTACACTCCTGTACTGCAGTGAGTCCTGGGCGCTTTGTGCACAGCAGGAGAGGAAGTTGAACATGTTCTATACAGTATGTGTTGTCTCTGACTCATTTTTGGCATCACCTGGCAGGACAAAGTTCCAAATAGATTAGTCCTTGAATGAGCTGGAATTTTTGGCATGTATAGATTACTGAAACAGTGACGTCTATATTGGCTCGGGCATGTCATGAGAATGGCTGATGGTCAGATTCCAAAAGATCTCTTGTATGGAGAATTAGTGCAGCGAAATTTTCCCAGAGGGAGACCACAGCTGTGATACAAGGACATCTGCAAGCGAGATCTGAAGGCCTTAGGAATGGACATCAACAGATGGGAAAGCTTGACCTCTGAGCATTCAGCCTGGAGGCAGGTGGTGCATCATGGCCTCTCCCAATTTGAAGAGACCCTTGTCCAGCACGCCGAGGCAGAGAGGCAGTCCCGAAACCAGCCAAATCAGGGATCTGGACAGGGGACAAATTATATTTGTCTTTAGTGTGGAAGGAATTGTCACTCTTGAATTGGCCTTCCCAGCCACACTAGACGCTGTTCCAAGACCTCTCTTCAGAGCACGTTACCATCATCTGAGTCTGAAGGATTCCTACATCTCCTGATGAAACAGGATAAACAACAGTGCCAAAAAGAATGTGTGTCCTCCTGCTGGGCCAGAAAGGTGCACAACAGCACTTAAAGTGGAAGCATGGATCGATCTAAGTAGAAACAGATACTGCTGTGGACTCCCCCCTCCCTACTGTTCCAAACCATGCCACCAGTGGCCCATATATCTTATTTATATGCCAGTGTGGACATCCTCATAGTTGAAAAACTCTACTTTTGTTTAGTTCCAAATCTGCCAGGGAAGGCATTATATCTCCTGCTTCTTCCTACAATGCACCATATTCCTCTCTTCAAAATTACAGTATCCCAATTTCCTGAACAACCAAGTACAGTATATGATTCAGGGTTCTTTCAAACACAGCTTTGAAAACATTGCTTTTGATCCATTATTGACCACCACTGACGGGGAGATTCTGGGAAATAATATCCCCTAAAGAAACTTATCCAAGCTTGGCTGTTGTTCTTGATGCTGCTAAACTGAGAATGTGAAGCTTATGCTTTTATATTAGTATGTCTTTTCTTTTCCTGCAACGCAGTGTGATTCTCTATTATTGTTAGAATGCGAGTGTAAAAGAATATAGATGGACAAAATAAAGCCATATGATAAAACAGTCATGTCATGAGAAGAGAGGGAAAACGATTAACAAGTCAGTAAGTCCTTGGAAAATTTTATGTGCCCAGTTTGAGAGGAGCACATTTAGTTCTGGCCTGCTTCCAGGACAGGAGGTCTCATTCTACATGAAAGGAAAATGCCCTGCTCCACAAAGAGATACGATCAGTGTTTTCAGGAGGCTGGCATTTTTATTTTCTCTTAAACCAATCAATGTTGATCTGCCCAAATTGTGGTGCTGGAGGAGGCTCTTGAGAGTCCCCTGGACTGCAAGGAGAACAAACCTTTCCATTTTGAAGGAAATCAGACCTGAGTGCTCACTGGAAGGACAGATTCTGAAGCTGAGGCTCCAAGACTTTGGCCATCTCATGAGAAGAGAAGACTCCCTGGAAAAGACCTTGATGTTAGGAAAGTGTGAAGGCAAGAGGAGAAGGGGACGACAGAGGATGAGATGGCTGGACAGTGTCATCGAAGCAACCAACATGAATTTGACCCAACTACGGGAGGCAGTGGAAGACAGGAGGGCGTGGCGTGCTCTGGTCCATGGGGTCACGAAGATTCGGACACGACTAAATGACTAAATGACGAGAACTTAACTAAAGTGTCATCCGCTTTTATCTGAACAATAAAATCCTGAAACAGGATCTGACCTTTTGCTGCGATTATCTACCATCTGCTCTGTGCTGCATCCTTAGTCCTCTCCTGGGCTTAATTCAATGAAGGGATGGCATCCCCACCCCCACCCCCAAGTGAACGGTGTGAACTTTCATGAAAGTAGTGAGAAATAATTGGCCCTCTTCTCCCAGGACAGAAACAGTTTCCATAAATGAAGGCAGATCTGCTATTTTCTAAAATTGGATGAAATAGCTAATACCCTAGAAGACAGAAACAAAATTCAAAATGTCTTTGAGAATGCATTAAAATTCAAAATGACCTTGATAGGCTGGAGCCCTGGGCTGAAAGCAACAGAATGAAATTCAACAGGGTTAAGTGCAAAGTACCAATTGCATAGTTACAAGATGGGGGATACCTGGCTCAGCAAAACTATGAGTGA